GGGAGGAGACCAGCCAGTCAGGGTGCGATGTAGCAACGGTGAAAAATACAACTTTCCTATTGTTCCTAAATGTTTCCTCCCTGCTCCCACTCTCATGACACAAATTCTACCTTGCAAGTCTGACTAGACCAGAAGATGTACACTGGTACATATGGGAACTGGAAATACAGGGAATCCAGGGTGGATGATCCCTACAGGACCAGAGGTGTGAGTGGTGATACTGGGAGAGTAGAGGGAGAGTGGGTAGGAAAGAGGGAACCAATTACAAGGAACTATATGTGACCTCCTCCCTGGGGGATGGACAACCGAAAAGTGGGTGAAGGGAGATGTCAGACAGGGCAAGATAAGACAAAATAATAATTTATAAATTATCAAGGGCTCCTGAGGGAGGGGGGGCAGGGAGGGAGGAGAAAAAATAAGGACCTGATGCAGGGGCTTAAGTGGAGAGGAAATGTTTTGAGAATGATGAGGGCAATGAATGTATGAATGCGCTTTACACAATTGATGTATGTATGGATTGTGATAAGAGTTGTATGAGCCCCTAATAAAATTGTTTTTTTAAAAAAGAGACCTACACACACAAAAAGAAAATACCATGGCTTGAGTCAGACGCACCTTTTTGGTGAGAGTTAGGGAAGGATATAAACAAAGAAAGAAATGTAGGTAGGTTGGAGGAGAGTATGCGTATTAGTTTCTTAGGGCTGTGGTAATAAAGTTCCATAAACTGAGGGGCTTAAAAGAAGCATTTTCCCTCAGTTTCAAAGCTATCGTGTGTTGTCCCAGTTGATACTGACCCATAGTTGAACCCATAGCACAGATTCGAGCGTGCACCCATCCCATTAGAGTTCTTCAGGCTGTTATGGAGGCTGGTGGAGAGCGCTGGTGGCCTATTAGGCTCTTAACTGCAAGATCAGCAGTATAAACTCACCAGTTGCTTCCATGGAAGAAAGAGGAGGCTTTCTACTCCCATTCAAGATTTATAGTCTCTGAATCCCACAGGAGGCAGTTCTACTCTGTCCTCAGAGTCGCTTTGAATCAGAATCAACATGATGACTAGGAGTTTGGTTTTGAGTTTTCTGGAGTTTGGGGTATAGCCAGGGCTGTCCTCTTTCTGAAGTTTCTAGGGAAAGATCTTTTCTTGCTTCAGTTTCAGCTTCTTATGGCTATTTTACCATTTCAAAATTCAACGGTCATTTGGATTATTTGCAAAGACAGTAGAGTCCAATTTTCATTTCAGAAAGTATAGAGGTTCAAAGCCATGTTGAATATAATAATGGGCTGGCTTTGACTAAAAGGGAGTATGTTCAAAGTAGGGTATAGCATGGCACTGATGAAACATATAACTATCCTCTAGTTCTTTAACATTTCCTCCCCTTACTATTATGATCTTAGATCTTGTTACGCCTGTGTATGTTCATTTGTATGGTTAAGATGGTGTGATGCATGAAATCCAAGATAGATAAATCCTTCAGTAACTGTAATGGGAGTAATGATTCCCTGAGGGTATGGGAAGGGGGGGGGGGAAACAGATAGCAAGAATGACTGTATGACCCCATTCAAGGGGAGTGAATAACAGAATTGTAGGTAAATGGATACATTGAATGGTGTAAGATAAGGCAATAATAATAATACATAACAAAGGGGGTTCCTGGGAGGTAGGGTTGGGGAGGGAGGGGATAAAGGGGAGCTGATATCCAAAGAGTTCAAGAAATAAGAAAATATTTTGAAAATTATGGTGGGAGCAATTGTACAATTACCCTTGATCTAATGGAATTATGGATTTTATAATATCTGTAAGCGCTCCCAATAAAATGATAAAATACAATTAAAAAAGGGAGTGTCTCAAAAGTCCCAACATTGCTTTACAACAGCGGTTCTCAACTTGTGGGTCTCGACCCTTTTGGGGGTTGACGACCCTTTCACAGGGGTCACCTAAGACCATATTTCTGATGGTCTTAGGAACCGAGACACTGCTCCTCCATCCGTCTCCAGACGGGTCCGCCCACATGCAGATACACCCATATAGGAGTTCCCAGCAGGAAGACTGTTACCCATGCTACACCATGCTTCAAGACAAAATTTCATTTATTTGTAATTAGAAATAAATATTTCGCAATATAGAATTACATATTGTTTTTGTGATTAATCACTGTTTTAATTATGTTCAATTTGTAACAATGAAAATACATCCCGCATATGAGATATTTACATGACAACTCATAACAGTAGCAAAATTACAGTTATGAAGTAGCAACGTCACCAGAACATGCGGAACTGTATTAAAGGGGGGCAGCATTAGGAAGGTGGAGAACCACTGCTTTACAAGCACTGAACCCTCACCAGTTTCTTCTATTTTGTCCCCTCTTCTTTCAGGCTTACAATGAATATCCTTGCGCAGAAGCTTAATGCTTATTGGAAACAAAAGACGACACCCCAAGGGGGGGATGCCCAGGGCTTAACCATAGTGCGGCCAAGATGGTGAGTAATAAATGTAGACTAGGAAATTATTAGATGTAATATTAGCAGGGCAAATGGAAGGAACTGGGATCAGGTGGTTTTTTTTCATGCTGCTTTTCACATCAGGAAGTTTGATTTAAAAAATGGGAAATCCCATGTATTAATTGAGTTATTCTTTCCATGTCTTCATTCTGGTTTAAAATGGTGGGGGTTTGAATCATCTTTATCAGTGGTTCTCAACCTTCCTAATGCCGTGACCCTTTAATACAGTTCCTCATGTTGAGGTGACCCCCCAACCATAAGATTATTTTCATTACTATTTCATAATGGTAATTTTGCTACTGTTATGAACCGGGTGACCCCTGTGAAAGGGTTGTTTGACCCCTCAAAGGGGTCGCGGCCCACAGGTTGAGAACCGCTGATCTATATGATGAATTTAGAACTGCTAATCCTATAGTCAGTACGATCTATTGGGAAGTGATGGGTATTTACTTCAAAAACACTTGAATTGAAATCTGGATCTGTTTCTTAAATTATGTGAGCTTGCTTGGGTATGTTAAGTGCACTACTTTCATAGGGTTTGCTGTAGCAAAGTCTTACAAAATAGGTGGGGTAAAAACAATGGAAAGATGTACTCTCTTGGTTCTGGAAGCTGGAAGTTGTGCACTCTCTGAAGCTTCGAGGCCACCAGGGAGGGAAAGCTCCTTCATTGCCTCTTTGGCTTCTCATAGTCCAAAGTTTTCCTTAGATTGTGTCTGCATGGCTCCAGTTTCTGCCGCCATCTACCCTTTCTGTGCTTCCCTGTGTCGCTTGCCTTTTTATAAAGACACCAGCCCTTGTTGGATCAGGGCCCACCCTCCTCTAGTATGGCCTCACATTAGATAATTACATCTGTAAATATACTCTTTCCAGATAAGATCACATTCACTGGTACTGGAAATTGGGACTTTAGCAGATTTGAGGCCAGGGGCAGGCACAATGCAACTCAATCATAAATCACTTCATCTCTGAATATAACCAATGAAGTGACATAACATTTTTACCACAGTGGCTAATGTGTAGTCCGTGATCAGAAAGATTAGCAAACATTCCTTTCTGTATTTGGGGTACATGCTGTTAGAACCACATCAAACTGAGAACAGAAGTAGAATTCAGCATATTAGAGAAAAGATAAAATGTACTGACTCTTAAGAATTACTGTGGATCTGTAGGTCGGGGAAGGAGTTTTAACACAGAAGACAGAATGAGCAACACCATGGAGAGTTCATTACACCACCAAGACAAAAATCACAAGGTTGAAAGGTCACAGTGTATGTGTGTGTATTTTCATAGCAATTATCAGAAAAATGTATCATATAAAATTTTGTTTTCAACTACAATCAGAATGATTGCTGTAAGTGTATTGCCATAGTCTTATTGTAAATATCTCCACTCATTTCCATTACCCATGGTTTTCAAAGAAATGCGAATCAAGATGCCATTATTTTTCCTCTCAAATTGGCAACTATTAATGTGGTAACATCATTTGCTGTTGTGTGTGTTTGTGTGTGTATGCGTCTGTCTGTCTACTCTCTCTGTCTACAAAGCTTTCTGGAGGACGAATTGTAATAATGGCTATTATTTATTTACTCAATAAATATTTATTGAATACTTATTTCCATGCCTGGCATCGTCCTCTCTGTTTTTTCATGTAGGAATTCATTTAATCATCACAACTCTGAGATAAGCAGATACTGTTATTACTTTACAGATCGAGTCTCAAACAATTGAGAACCTCAAGTAGTTTATTCCCAAGGTTATACAAGTAATAAGTGGTAGAACTAAGGTTCAAAAAAAAAGTTGGTCCCCCAAACTTAAATTCTTAGCCTTTCCTCAGCTCACACATGACTGCTGAAATAGCTGTACTGCATCTCCCTTTTGCTGGCTCTGGCTCTAAATAAAACATCGCACCAGAGGTTAAGCCTAAGCTTAAAGTTTGCAAAGCTGGAGCAGCCTGGAGCTAGCAGATAAGAGGCTATATATCCCAAAATGTGGATGAGCTGTCTTTGTTAAAATGGAGTTTTGAAAAAGAAAAGAACTTTGAGTGGTAACATAATGAATATTTTTTTTACTTCTTTACATTTTTTTCTGTTTGCTCTTGTTTTATCTATGGGCCTATGTTACCTAAAGCTTATATGACTTTTGTAACTAGAAGAAAAGAACACTATTTATAAAGATCTATCAGGCTACTAAAAAAGAACCACACCACTTTCCTAGAATGTCTATTATAAGACTGTGCAGCATACACAGAACCCACTCCAGGTGTAATTATATTTTAGAAACATTGGCCAGAGGTGCCCCTCCACCCTCTTTCTTTGTCTTTTCAACAAACTTTCTCCCCTTTGACCCCTGCTTCATTTTCACATCCAATTGCTGAACACTCCAAATACTATGTAGACCACCTCCCATCATGAGGAAATAAAATCACTCTTAGGTGTTCTACTCTGTCCTACAGGGTCACTATGACTAGGAACTCACTCAATAGCAGTGAGTCCGGGTTTCTGGAAGGTGTAGGCGACTGTTGATACTGAGGCAGGGAGAGGGAGGTGGGAGTTTTAAGAGTAGAACTCTGGAAGCGTTTTATCTTCATACTTTAACCCAAGTGTTGTCAGCATATCTAGTTATACATTTTAACCAAAATTCTATAGCTCTTTTAAGTACCTTTGCTATTATCAAACTTAAAAATTTTTTGATTGGCACTGTATCAACCCAGGATTTTTTACATCAAGGAAAAAGGATTAGGGGGGGGCCTCTGCAGAAACAGAGTGATATGCTTTGATGACAGTGCTTTCTAAACTGGTTTTGAGATTGGACAGAAGCCAGCAAAAGGATTCTTTGAGTTTTAATAATATAATATTAGAAATATAATATATAAAACTTACTGGAAATTATATATATATATAATGTGTTGCCTAGTTAGCATATATATATATATTTTCCCCAATGATTTGATTGGCATATCTCAATGTGGAGGAGTTTTCTTTGTTAAATCAGAGTTTAGTAAAAGAAAAGGACATTGGTTTTTTAGTTGTAGCATATTTGCATGATATGATACAATTTAATAGTTCTGTCCCATCAAGAAGAGTTGTACAATCAGAGCATTTGCTTCATTCTTTTTCTCATCATTATTAGCTCCCCATCTCCCCCCAGCCTTCTCTGCCATACCCACAAGGAACCATTAATAATACAGATACTCTACCATAGATTACCCTATCCTGGATTTCATACAGGAAAACATTAGGAACCAGAAAAATAAATAAATAAATGAAAACTAGCAAGAGTAACAAAGTAAAATAGATAAAACACCAATACAGCAGAAAATACTACAAAGTAGAACAAATTAAAATGGACCTTAAGGAAGATCAAATGATAGGGTGCTAAATTTTAACCCAACTGCACCTGCAACAATCCACTTTCCGATGTGTTCTGCATGGTAGCAAGGCTGTTCCCATGGGAGAGGGGTCCACGGTCTGAGGGTATTCACCTGGGCTAGTTAGCATCTCTAAGCGTTACAATTATTTTATTGTTTGCTTGAAAACAAGAGATTGCAGCACATTATTGGCTTTCATAAATAATGTGTGTACTATATGTGTATTTAATGTCTATCATTAGTGTATCTGGTTGGAATATATACATTTTAGGCAACTAGACTATTAGGAGTTCTAACACACTTCATATATGAAATTATATTCTTTACCTTTAATAGAACACCCTGCTGGGTAAGCCTTGCACTACTAACCGTAAGGAGGTCAGTGTTTCAAACCCATCACTGGCTCTGTGGGAGAAAGAGGAGGCTTCCTGCTTCTGTAAAGATTTACAGAAACAACTTATAGAGGGTCGCTTAATTGACTTAATGGCAGTGGGTGGTTGAGCTAGGATTTACAGCATCACTTTTGTTCTTTTCCCCATTCAGGGTGATTCCTGATGAGACTTGGGTACAGTGTGATGAGTGTCTTAAATGGAGGAAACTTCCTGGCGTGGTTGATCCAGGGACATTACCTGCAAGATGGTTTTGTTACTATAATTCCCATTCAAAATACAGGTAAAATCCAAAGCCTCAATATCATACTTGAGATAACCCCCTGCTTTTGTCTCTCTAATTCTAAAATACATTTCAAGTCCACACTCTGTACCCTGGCATTTAAGCACCTCTGGCAGCTGGTCCCAGCCCCATTCTTTACCTATCTGACCGGATTCTTACTTAACACAAACCCCATTCTTCTGCCGGGCTGTGGGTTCACTATCCCTCTATGTTCTAGGCTTATTTACACCTTCATGGCTTGACTTAGTCATTCCAACTGCCTATCCAAATCACACCCATATGAGGATCTTTGTTGGGCAGTAGTTCAAAGAACTCTTCCTCTGACTTCCTGGGGGTACCTACTTCTTAGCATTTTTTTTCACAGACTACTCTATATTTCTCTGATGTTTCTCACACATCTGTCCTTTGCCTGTTGAGGAGACTGTGCAGGGCCTTGCAATCTAGATTGAGATGATGATTTCCTTACAGTTATTATTCCTTATAGTAATTAATCTACTATAGTACATATTGTACCCTGAATGTTGGATTGTTATGTGCTTATCTTCTGGGAGCCCTGGTAGTGTAGTGGAGCTGAGCTGTGACCTGTAAGGTCAGCAGTTTGAAACCACTTGCCTCTCTGTGGGAGAAAGATGGGACTTTCTTCTGCCCATAAAGAGTTACAGTCTTGGAGACTCACAGGGGCAGTCTTACCCTGCCTTGTAGGGTCACTATGAGTCAGCATTGACTCAATGGCAGTGAGTTTCAATTTGAGCTTTGCTCTCCCTAATATACCATATGCCCCTTATAGCATAGCACATCTGATATAGTACCTAGAATATCCATTGAAGTGTAAACTTCAATTTCACAAGTATTTATTGAGGTGACTCTGTAGTCACATAGGTCTATCAAATTAAGTCAGTTTGTACCAGTTCATTCAGATGTAGCTTTCTTAAAAACTTTTAATTTTTTGTAGGATAAATGTTAAAATTGAATATCGTTTTGAGGTGGAAAAAAATCATAAGATGAAGGAAATCAAATAAGCCTAGGTCTGCTGTGCGTGGGATCGCTGGATAGCAATAGGCATTTTTTTTCATAGTGGGTTGCATGCTGGCCTGCTAACCCACGAGGTCAGCAGCTCCAAACCACCAGCTGCTCTGTGGGAGGAAGATGGGGCTATAGAATCCCTGGCTTAGAATCCCACCGGGGTAGTTCTCCCCTGACCTGTAGGTTCACTATGAGTCAGAATAGGCACCCTGGTGGTGCAGTGTGTTGGGCATTGGGTTGTGAAACGAAAAGTCAGTGGTTCGAACCCACCAGCTCCCTGGGGGAAATAGGAGGCAGTCCTATTTCATCCAGATTGTCAGCCTCGGAATCCCCATGGAGCAGGCCTCCTCTACCCTAGAGGGTCCCAATGAGTTGGAATCAGGATTGCCCAGGCTTTCCACTCTCCACAGAGTGGAAGTGGCACTGAGTGATTTAAGATAGGGGACTGCTTTCGAAGTCTCACTGTTGAATCATGTACCTCTTATCAGTTGATGCTTCATCCAGAGCATGTCGCCTTCCAGGGCAGCCCTTATAAAATGGGTGTAAGTTAATAATAATGAAATTAGTGTTAGTTTTTATTGTGTTTCTAAGATGACTTTGGGCCAATTATTGCTTTTGCTAGGACTTTCCATTTGTACTCCTCAGATATACTTCTCTTACTTTATGAATATTGTGTCACTGTCTTTTATAGGCTCTTCCTTTTCCCTCCGCCTTCCCAGCCTCTGCTCTGTCCTGTGTACACTAGCACCTTATTGCTGCCCTCCCTTTATCAGAACCTTTCATTTTTCGTCCTCAGGCATCATCCTTAGAGATCCTCATGCTTCTAGACTTCATCTTGGGAATTCATTTCGTAGTGTATGAGGAGAGGCAAAAGACCTGGGTTCTAGTCCCAGCAATATGCCCTTCATGTAGAAACTCAAGCAAGTCCCTTCTGATGCATGACTTTTACTGTGTAAAAATAAGAGATTATGTTCCCTCCACCTTCCCCGCAACCATAGACTTTGCAGCTGTAAAGTACTTTGGAACATCTTGGCAAAAAGATGGTAGATACTCCACAATTATGTGATGGCATTCTTTAAAAGAAAGAGCTGCTCCTTGTTAGCTTGCCACCCAGGTCTTGTGAGGTGGATGGGATCTGGACTCCTTAACATGGGAGCATATTATCAACTTGCCTCATCGTATTTGTGAAGGAAGTCAAGGTAAAGGGGTGTCTTCTGCTTTGAATTGATGGTTTCTGTTCTCTGCCATAGGAGATGCTCTGTTCCGGAGGAACACGATATCACTAATGAAGATTTGAAGAAGGCTAAGAAACAGTTGAGTATTCCTGAAGGTGGCGCTCTAGGTCATAGAGGACTCTGAGCCTTCTTGTTAGGATGCTCAAGATAGATGCTGCTGCTGCTGCTGACGATGATGATAGTTTTTACATGATTTCCCTCCTCACTTCTCTGCCCTCCCAATCCTTTATTCCTTCTTACCATTTTCTGAATGTCTCCACTAGTATTTACATAGATAGATAGATCGCTGCTGTCGAGTGGGCGCCAGCTTATGGCAACCTTATGTACAATGGAACGAAATGCTGCGGAGTCCCGCGTCCCCCTCACAATCTCCAGCACGATCCAGTCCATATCCCCGAGGGTCTCCCTCACCCTCCCTGGCCCTCTATTTCACCAAACGTGATGTCCTCTTCCAGCAATTGGTCCTTCCTGGTGATGTGTCCAAAGCAAGTGAGGCGGACAGTGTTCTGTTGTGATCCATTGATCTATAAGGTTTTCATTGACTACTTGCTGGTAGTAGATTGCCAGGCCTTTCTTCCTAGTCTGTCTTAGTCTGGGAGCTTGGCTGAAACTTGTCCACCGTGGATGACCCTGTTGGGATTTCAAATATTGGCACGCAAACGACCACATGACATGTTGTTTTGCTTTTGTTTTTTGTTGTTTGAGTTTTTTTCCCCAGCTCATCTGTAGTTGGTGGGGCTTCTAAACCTCTCTTCTGGTGTGGATTGGTTCATGAAGAACCTTTTAGTTGCTTCTAGGAGCTGCTGCTAGTTCTAATTTTGGAGGGAACTCATAGTCACAATCTAGAACTGAACATCGGTTCTAACTGAGAAGTTTCACGAGTGAACTAAAAAGCCGTTTTATTTTCTAGAGAGCAGACTGTTGCGAAGAAGGTGCCCATGGAAAATGAGAACTTCCAGGTGAGAGACCGACAATTCCCTTCCCTTGACTCACTGAAAAATTCCCCCAACAGTGCACTGGGGCTGAAAGAAGCAGAAATCCTGAAAAACTGAATAGAAAGGACGGATCATTTCTTCTGGTGGTCTTTGATTTATTTTTTTAAGCCCATTGGTGCTTTTTTTGGTTTTATTTTCAACTACTGCTACTGAAGGCCTAAGCTTGAATCATCAAATCTGTTTTAAGAACTACAGGAGAGCTTACTCACTGTTGGGGTTGCCATACTAATTCTGGACCGTGGGAAAGATCACATTCAGCATTGTGTTCTATCTTCCAGAATGTTCCTACGGAGTGTCTGATATTTCTTAGTGCCCTTTCTCAGGATGTCGGGGGTGATTCCTTTCTCTTTCCTCTGGGGAAGAAGTGGTTCTTTAGTGCTATTTCCCCCCCTCCCCCATCCCTGCTTTCAGGCTGGCTGGCTTGATAAAGACTCTGCTGTTTTGAATTTTCAGGAGCATTGTCTCTCGGACATGGTTGCCCACCTCCGGACGCTGAAGGGTGCAATAAGGTTGGCCGTCCTTTCAGGACACTCCTTTCCTGACAGCCACCATAGCACCCATGTATCTTCCTGCCCCTAACCTGGTCTTTCTGCATGACTTTTTTTTTTCCTTGACCCTTTTTCCCAGAGAGACCTGCTAGTCGCATGTTAGATTGACATTCCATCCATTTTATCAGGGCAGGTCAGACTGGTGAGGATAAGGGGCAATTTCATAAGCAATTCTCTCTCTCTTGGGGTGGGGTGGGGTTCATTTTTGTTTGTTGACCTGCCGCTCCGATGCAGGCATGTGACTGCTCAGGCTTCATGTGCCATTGATTCCATGTCAGAGTCTGCTCTAGAGATGGGAAGATTTTCTGGGATTGCCCTGTCCTCAGTCAGTTTTTACCGTCCCTTGACATGCCTTCGCTTGAATCATTTATACTATCTTCATACGCTGGCTCACTCATAAGACCCCAGGTGCATGTCTCAGTGTGTGTACCTTGAATACATAGGAGTCTCTTACATGCATGTCTCAAAAACTAGTGCCAATATTCTCGCTTCCATGCTTCTTCCCTCTGTACCGCCCCTCACCACATTTACTCAGGAGGACTGACAGCTCAGCCTCAAACTCAGTCACAAGAGAAAAATCGGTGGCAACAAGGGTGCCTGGATTTCTGTTGTGGGTGGGATGCCTCCCAGAGCCAATAAGTCAGTTGGGGGAGGTCTCTGGGTGTCCATCTGATAAGGTGGTTAAATGAACTTGCAGGGTTCAGGGTTCTAGTGTACCTTAGTGCGCTCTGTGTTTGCTTTGTATACGAAAGAGGTTCTTTTTATTTGGTCAAGTGTTCTTTCCCAGCTTCAGAAGGATTGACTCATCTTTCGCTCTTCAGTTGGAAACCGGGAGTTTTAGGAGCCGTTTCTTCCTTTTCCAGGTGCTCACCAGTCCACGGACGATCCCTGCTCTTCCAGCGATGGCTGCATTTAATCACAGGACCATCACCTATGAAGGAATTGATTGCCCGCCACTGCCTCCAGCCATTGAAAAAGAAGGCGGAATTCCTCCTCTTCAACTGATTATGCCTGTGGACTGCAGCATGTTTCAGAGTTCCAGGTAGATAAAAAGCATTGTCTCTCTTCAGGGGTCAGCCCCAGGGTCCATTCTCCGGGGAAGTCAGTTGGTATGTTTTTGTTTTGTTTTTTCCCTCCGTGGGCATCTTTTTCTCATGCCTTGCAAAGAATCCAGAGGTTTGATAGAATTGTGTGTTGCACATTACCCCACCCCCAGCCTCTTCCAAGGTTCCAAGTGGGACGTCAGCTTTTATTTCTTCCCGTTTTTGGAGGCAATCACTTTCTGAATGCTCGCTCTTTCATATGTATTCTGGTGGAAGGTGGCTCAAGTGAAATCATGAATGTGAAAATTGTTTTGAAAAGCAGACGTGGCTGGGTATTAAAGTCTTCTGGGGCCTCCCCAGCTTGGCGCATGTTGGCCCATGCATAAAACGATGAGAAGTTAGAAGTTGGCCCCAGCCTTCCAGTTCATTGTTTCCTGGAGTGAATTATTAATACAAGTTCAGCCTTGGGCTTGACCCGTTTGTCAGTAGGTACCTCATTAATATGATTTTGTTAGTCTTCGAAAAGGAGGACGCATAGTTCTTCATTTTCTTTCATATTGGGCATATGGAGAAAGCATGAGGAGGTCTGGTGTGCCCCCAGCCTGCCCAGACTCATTCATTGTGCCTTTGCTTTCTCCTCTGTGGTTCCCCCTCCTGGCAGGGCTGAGCCGTAGAGCTGGCATGGAGGTGCTTCCTCATTGTGGAAACACCCATGGTCCTCAAGAAATTGACTATAGCATCGTGGCATGTGAGCTTTGCCGTGACCCTTTGCAGTTGGGGTATCTTTTTCGTGTATTGTGGGATTGGAACTCATGTTCCAGGGAGGCAGGGATGAATTGTTGGAAGTATCACTGACTCACTCAGTTTTGTGGTGAGAATTCGTCGAGAGAAAAAGCTAAAGACCACCACTTCTAAAAAGCAACAAAAAGTTGGGGAAATAATCCAGTGCGGAGGGTGAGGTGTTTCTCCAGGAGAAACGTGTATGTTAGCTTGGGTCCCATTTTTATGGATCAGAGTGCCATGACTGCCCCCACCCCCACCCCCCGCCCCAAACTTGAACAAGCCTCAAGAGGAAATGGACCTTTAGGTGCTAAACTAAGAAAACTCTAAAGGCATTAAATGAACGTCTATGTAACATCATCTAGAACAGTACCATGGATAGAGTGAACCCACAAAAAATAAAATCCCACTGCCACTGAGTCATTTCTGACAGGGTTTCCAAGTCCGTCCATCTTAACAGGAGCCGGCAGCCTTTCTCCAGCAGAGTGACTGGTAGGATTGAACTTGTGGCTCAATTTGTAGTTGAATCTGAATCATATTGACAGAGCAATTTCTAAAACTCGAACTACACAGCAAGGGATAAGAAATAAGAGTCTAGCCTTAATCTCAAGCACTTGAAGTGAGTTCTGCCGAAAGTTCTGCCCTGGGCCCGCCCACCCCTTTCCAGTTTCTCCTGGAGGCTGGGTGAGGTGTCAAAGGACGGCTATATGATTTTGGCGCTGCTAACCGCGCCATCTTGTCTGTCTCCTGGAGCCAGGCAGATCACCATTGGCTATAACGTTGTTCTTAAAGACTATCCTTTCCCTGCTAACGCCACTTTTTCTTTCTTTTCTTCTTCTAGTGTTTCTTTTGTGACTTGGTTTCGGGTGTGGTTTTCAGTAGCCTCCATGCTAAACTGATGTGTGTGCTTTATGGCTGCAGTGTGACTGTGCATCCATTGGGTGGCATACTTGCTCAGCCTCTCAAAAAATTTTGTCCCTGTCTTTTGAAACTGCTGTTTTCATCTAGTGAGAGTAAGATTCTCAAGAAAAAGGAGATCCATGATAATAGTGCTATTAGTGCTGTGTTAAAACAGCTCAAAAAAAAAAGAACACTGGTTACATTGTTGAAAGCTGCATGCATAGAGGGATCTGATTGATAGGGGAGAGTCTGTATTTTCCATTTGAGGGGGACAGAGGTATTTAGGAGCTTAGTAAAATAGATGCAAGTTTCTGGTGGAACAATGGTTAAGGGAATAATAGGATTCATCAGATGTTACAAAGGTCTCCCTTTCCATTATGAGAACCTGAAGCTGATAAGAACCCAAGTAGTGCTGTTGGTTGTAGCGTCCATGGATAAAATAAAGCCTAGATTATCTAAGAGAGTTGTTGAAAATTCTAGTGTAGGTTGTGTGACTGAGCTGGGGCTTCTGGTGTCATTGGCAAGAGCCTTTGAGTCTCACAAATGGGGGTGGGGTGGTACCTGCAGTTAACACTACTTTCTGCCAATATGTAAGCAATTCTAACCTGTTGGGGGGAAACAGTTTACTTGTGTTAAAGAAAATAATCCATTTGCTGTTCTTTAATTTGACATCGATGTGAGTGTTTACTGTATAAAAAGACACTGTTCTAGGGTAGTGAGGGAGTCCATGGAGGAACTTTTGATCATCTATAAAGTTTCATATGTACTGCATATACTTGAGTATAAGCTAAGGTGACCAGACATCCCACTTTTGGTGGGACAGTCCCGATTTATAACAATTTGTCCCGCATCCCGCGGCGTTTTAAAAAAAGTCCCAGTTTTTGGAAAGAATGCACGACAAGCTAGGGTATACGGTTTTCGGCTGCCATGTGGCTCTTTCGCCAGGATATAAGTTTTATCAATGGTGTCCTGCTTTTGTCCCGCTTTGCCAATGTTAAAATCTGGTCACCTTAGTATAAGCTGACCCAAATATTAGCTGAGGCACCTAATTTTACCACAAAAGCTGCATTAAAATGTGCTGGAAAACTCTGCTTCGACCCCAGTGTATAGGTAAGTATCTCCAGCACAGGGCACTTACATGAGGATCTTTATGCCACTCTTCATGAGTGGTGTAAAATAAAGTCAGAAGTAGTCAGGAGCCTATGGACACGAGGGGGAAAAGAGTGGATATAATTTATTTAGATATTTAAGAAAAGTTTTTGAGTAAGCTCGATGCCAATGGCTACTTGGTTCATGTTTTAAAAGGACACTGGATTCCACAGTAAGGGGGGAAGAGAAGAGGGAGAGGGAGACAGTTTAATATGCTTACAGAACTATTTGAAACAACAAATAAGGGGGAGACCTAAAACAGTGTTGTGAGTGAAGAAGGCGGATGCAGGGGCGGCATTACCATTTTCCAATCACAATTTGGGAGATCAGTTCCCAAAAGGGAAGAGCGAGCCTGGTGTGGGACTCTTTCCACAACAACCAACCATTTCACTGAGGAAAATGGTGTACGGTGGGGCCTCACCCACCTCGTGGACAATTTTATTCTCTGATCTCTTTATTCCATTTCTCACCAACGTCGGAAGCCCCTCCTGCTCAAACGTAAAGAGAACAGTGAGAATCCGTCCGTGGCCCTTGAGACAGCCTTCCTCCTCGGCTACCAGGATCCCTGCCTTAAGAAAACTATGCAGTGAGCTCTTATTCTGATGGATTCCATCAAGAAGCTGGGGTTTCCTCTTCTCATAGCTCCTAGTCAGGAACTTTGATTTCACCCCAGGGGAGGCAGGTTTGCAGTGTTTCTTTTTTTTTTTTTTCGAGACAGCAATTTACTTCACTACAACACAAGATATGAAAGCATATTCCTCACAGTTTAGATTTTTCTTTTCTTTTTTTTTATGAGTGGTTTTCTCATTTCTTTTTTTTCTTTTTTAACATTTTATTAGGGGCTCATACAACTGTTATCCCAATCCATACACACATCAATTGTGTAAAGTGCATTTGT